ATTTTGTCTTAGATATCTTAAAGTGCCTAGAAACTTATCTGACATATATACCAAAGTAAAAACAATACCAGAGAGTTTGAATCAGAACAAGAGTAAGAAAGAAATGTCAAAGTAAGTGTAAATACAAGAATGAGGCTGAGGAGACATTGATAGGTTAGAGTACTACTTTCCTGCTTTAATGAAACTTTCCTTCACATAATTTGTTGCAAAACACAAATACTTTATCTAATTTCTTTCCCTTAGTCTTACCTTCACAGTAGGTACTCACCATTTTACACAGAGGCAGAAGTAACACTGAGAAGGAAAACCGTTCTTTCTTCCCCTTTCACAGGATGCTACTAAGCTATTTGGTATTCCTTTGAAGACTACAGCAGTAGTTTACGCGCTGGATATTTATCACTGGTGTGGAGGGTGAAACACTAACTGCACACCATACTCCCTGCCCTTTTAAAATATTGATGAGTAACCATCTATGGAGCCTCATAAAGTATTAACTCTTTAAGTGGGGAAGATCTCTGCTTAACAGCATAGCACAAGTTCTATGTGATTTAAATTCCACACAATCCAAAGAGTTTCAAACTGTTTTTGAAACCTTCTCACCTGGTTTTGAAACCTCAAGTAAGCAATATTGCTCTATTGACCCAGCAGGACAGGTATGTAAGTTCAATCTTCGTGATCGATGTGGGGATACTCATAAATGAAGTCTACATCTTGAACTTCAATGCTTAAATCCTTTTATTGGCCTCCTACTCTTTTCAGCTTCCATTTTATGCACTGCTTATCAGGTTAGTTCATGTTGGAAAAGCTGTTGCATCTCCTGAATTACCATACCTGAACTTGAAGATAATGGTCTGCATTTCCCTGAATATTTTCCGCTAGGTAGTCAGTGTGTGAAAGTGTCAGACTGAGACCGACTCATTTATTATTTGAAATACATAGTCCAGATACCATATTTATTTGGAGATCCAATTTATCTTTTTCTCTTCAATTTTTTTTAGCTGTTCAAATTACCTAGCTGAACTGAGCATAAGCAATTTCTTTGACCCATGAGTTTGTGGTTCAGAGGAAAATTTTGAATCCTTCCAAAGATGTGTGGTTATAGTACAACACAATTACAGCTGTATTTTATCAAATAAAGTAGATGGAAATGGGAAAAGTGTGGGGAAAAAAAATTATCTTCACAGAAATCCATCAATATTTTCAAATAAGTAACTTTTGCATGACAGATTGTCTGCAATGGCAGGGGCAGGACTTGGTACCCCTTCTGAGGTATATTAGAAAGCCTGAAAGACTTTAAACATATTGACATGGAACTGTAATAGCTTGAAGATCAGCAATGCTAATCCACTCTAGAGACACTAGCTCAAACACTGTGGATGCTCAGGTGTCCCCTAAAACTTAAAAATGTTAAGAGAATCTTCAAAGATAACCCTATTGTCTAGGAATACCCCAGCCATTGCTCACAGAAAAGTGATAACAACTTGATTCATGCCTGAAGAAATGAGCAGATGGGTTCTTTCCTCTCCTTATACAAATGCCAGTGAGATAAAACAAGAATAAAGTTAACAGAATTATGTGCCAGCTATACCAAAACATAAAGAAAGCATGCCATGTGTAGGATTCCTATCTTTGAACACATATTCATTCAAATTTTAGTTTTCTTTCTAAATTCCAAGGTACATTTAAATAAAAGACATCAGAAATATGATCTCTGCTGCCACTAGATTTCTGCTTATATTGCTAAGTTAGTGATTCAACAAGTGTGCGGTATGTCTTTAATTGCTACCACCCAGAAGAAATTTTCCCTCAGGATTCATTAAGTAATGAATTCCTCCCTTGCTGAGTTGTAAATTTTCAAAAGACCTTGGCAAACTAGTAATTTGCCTTCTTGGAAACCAGATGTAAATGTCCCAAAGAGGTGGGAACCAGAACTACAAGCACATGAAAGTAATAAATTTAGAATAGTATGTATTTGTGTGGTACCTTCCTAAAGTTATTCTCCTGCTAAACTTTAAAGTATCTACTCAAGTCATACTGAGGCATGAAGTAAATATTTTCAAGAGCCAATAAATTAGTTTAATAAATTAATTATTAGTTTTGCAAGACTCTTAGCCACTCAGGCTCTAGGAGTTTTTGCACAGTTGCAGTACATATAGTATTAGAGGATGGCTCTTTCAACAGCCAGGGTGTGCTCACCTCCAGCTATGCTCCTAATCCATAGGAAAAGGTGCTGGGAGGCTTTAGTGTGTGTTTAAGAGTGAGCTGCTTTCCTGCCACAGAGGTGTGTGACTAACTCATGGGAGTCATCCTTCCAAATTTCAGCTACTTGGTTGCAGCCTGAAGTTCTGCCTCTCAAACTCAGTGCTAGTCAGAAGTTGCAGTACCTGCTCCCTGTCATCTTCTGAGTAAAGTCTGGAGGGTGTGAGATAAAACTGTTTTCTGGACTTTAGTATGACAAGGGATTATGTGCCACCAATGTCTATGATTACACTGGACTGGAAGGAAGCTTGCAGCTATTAGTTCTACATTATTTTTTTCAAAATTGCTTTTCTGCTGAAGTCTTTTCAAAGGCATTTAGAAGGTTGCTATTATCCATGTTGGTTCTGTTCATATATTTGGAATCATAATAAGTGGTGTGTTTTGCCACAGAAAAAGATTGTCAAGTTTGGAGTGTTTTGACACAGAAAAAAAAGTCGTTGTGGGCTAATTAGATACTGCACAAACTGTTCTGCAGTAAATACAGCAGACATGAAATTGTTAACCTAGGGATCAGAGAGCACCTGAAGAAAGCTTAGTATTCTATGAATGACAGGATAGCTCCCTCAGCATGGGATACCACAGGATAAAAACACTGATCTATGTTTCTTTCAGACTCTAGATTTTGCAGTACATCAATTATCTTAGAAAATAAAAAAAAAACCCAAGAATAAAGAACATCTTCATGAAATCAGAGAATTTTTTCCATCTTCCTGTTTCCTTGGACCAAAAAAAGAAAGCTTATTACCTCAGTGATCAGAAGTCTCTTTTGACTCTGTCTATTGAAATGACAATGCATCATTCTAGCTGACCATATTTGAAGCTCTAAAATGTGAATACACAGATTATTTGTTTACTTAGATTATCTCTATCCAAGTAATGGCATCAGCTGCATGGTCATAGCTTTCGCCTATTCCAGTGTATTGCTTCAAAAGCTTAAAAGACTGAAAACAATTGATGATGATAATGCTTGATTATAAACTAGTTTGCAGCCTATTTGTTCTCTGGCCAGATGTGCCTAATTCCTGTTGTCATCCTTGGAAGCACGTGGGTGCACAAACAGCAAGAAGGAACCCTCTGTACAGCTCTTCACTTTCCCGGAGTTTTGGATCCATGCCAGTCTGTTTTGGGAACAGCATTCCGTGACCCAGTGGGAAAGTCCCTCAAGGACCATTGTTATCAAGTGGCAAATGGAGCTCCTTAACCATTCTGGCACAGGGTGAGGATCACAGCTGGGATCACAGGGAGCACACAGCCCACCAGGCCCCATGCACAGCCCAGAACACTGGAGCAGCTGGTGCTGGCAGTGCAGTGAAGGCTGCAGTTACTTTTGGGACCTCGCTAGAGGCAAAGCTTCCCACTGCCCATATAACACTTCAGTAATTCCAGAGAAGTGGACTCAGGGGGGTGGGATTTAGGTATCGAATCCTTTTAGAGCCCGGGTTTATACCAATAATCCACTTACTTTTCATTTTCCATGAACCAGGGAGACTCCAGTAGAGCTAAATGTGCATAGTGAATATTGTATTCTATTGTTACTGTAAAAGCTCTGCTCTTTTGAAGAGGTTGTACACAGGGAATAGCTCAGCTCTCCTCCTTGGAGTATGGCTTCTATACAAATATATAAAATAAAGAAGCCCAAACCCCGTGTCAAAACTCTACCCACACAGACAGATAATTTGAACTCTCTCTCCAGACAGTGGAGAGCTATAACTGCAGAATAATGTAGCAGTATTTCTACATCAGCCCCAGGCAGCCACTGCCTTTAAACTCAGGCCAGCACAGACCTTCCCAGTCAAGCAGCTGTTTTGCTCACACAGTACCTTCTGCTTTACCCACCTGTGAGCTCCTAGTGACAAGAACCTCCCTATTTTTACATGTTTACACAGCATCACTATGAAGTCCACAGAAAGATCTGTCAGGTGCAATCATGGTATCAATCATAAGTAACAGAGGATCAGTAAAAGAATATTATCCAAGTCAGCTGCAAGGAACTTTCATTATATAAGGGTACTACTTTACCTTTTACCTCTCTGTCTTCCAAGTGACAACCTGGCAGTCAGAAAAACTTTTCACATGCAAGCCAATTAAAAATTCAGAGGCCATGCCAATTCAGCTGCAAGTTAATTTTCAGAAAGGTAAATTGAACGACATTAGAAAACTCCCAAACAGGAAAAAGGCTGTGAAAACAAAAATAGTTTTCTGTGTGGTGTACATAAGGTTCATTATAATAAAGCTGTAACTTATCTCCTATTTCAACAGACTCATTAAACAGTAAAAGTTCACTGATGAGTCTGCCAGAGAAGTCGGGTGAAATACCCCAAGCCTACAGACAAAATTATTTTCTCTGAACCTTTGAGAAAAATCAATCTTTCCAACAAAAACCCTTTAAATGATCTGATACTTGGTGTGAAAATAGCTAAAAATGTCCATGGACAGCGATCCCCTCCCTGAGCCCCATCACTACCCCAGGATGTTACTGTAATAAGGAGGAGAGAACACAGGTTAAAATCCACAATCCCGAAGGTCTCAGAAGGCAGGTATTTTCCCAGCTCAGGCTCCTGAGGTAACAGGGAGAATTCAGAAGCAGGAGTGTCAGAGCAGGCACCGCAGTCAGAGGTGGCTCTTAGCACTCTGACGCTGATCCTGGCACAGGGCTCCAAATGAAAATCAAAGCAATACATCTCTTTTCAAAACAAAGAATGAGGGGGGGAAAAAAAAAATAAATCTCATTCTCTGAGTACCTTTGATTCCTGGCTGGTAGTTGATGCTGGAGAGGGGGGCTGCTCTGTGCTCTCCACTTCATTCTCCTTCTCCACACTATCCACGCTGACTTCAGTCGTGCTGCTCGGAGGAATCATTTTACCTCTAAAACACTGCTAGTATCAGGAAAAAAAGCTACAGATGGTTCTTGCTTTTTTTCATTTAAAGTCCTCTTTCTTCTCTGCTCTTCTGGAGCAAATGAACTCCGACCGCTTGGTTTCACTATATTTGCCAGACTAGAATTCTCTGGATTTTCTTTTTTTTTTCCCCCCTCTTCTCCTCCTCCTTCCCCTCCTTCCTCCCTCCCCTTTCCTATGCGATTGTGCTGCGAGGGAGTAAGTTATCGATGTTGTGTAGGTCAGTTGTGTGCCTGCTTTTCCCCGATACTCCTCCCCTCCATATGAAGCCTGGAGGTGTGGAGCAGCGTCGTGACCGCCAGCCCCACCATCAGAGGGGAGTGAGCTGAAGCAGCGAGCCCAAGCCACGCACACAGACACAGACACACAGACACACAGACACACAGACACACAGACACACAGAAAAGCAGCACACACACGGCACTGGAGGGAGGAGCTGTATTTCTAATGCCGTGAATAGCTCTGGAGGAGCATGTGCTGTAATAGTAGTGAAAGAAAGTAACGCGTGCATGCACACATACACACACGCAGGCAGGAGGTGGATATGAGGCTTGGAAGCATTTTACCTTTTAACAAGCTGGAGAAGGCAGAGTTGAAGGGTGCCCTTATGTTCTTTCATGTCTTTCACTGATGAAAAAGAAGCCCAGCGAAAGGGCTTTAGAAAAAGAGGAGAAAAATTGCTCTGTTTCCTTGTCCCAGAGAAGAGTGTTTAAAATCCTAGTTAGTGTCTCTAAGGCTCCCACCCTGCCCCTGCTCCAAACTTGCTAGCAAATGACAGGACAGAGTCAGGGGAGAGTTACCTGTGGATCCACGTGTTCCTCGCTCCCCTCCCAGGCAGGGTAGCCCAGCTCTGAGCCATGCACACGCAATCTGGGTCATCTGGAGCTCCCACTATCGTGCACATACTATACCTGTAGGTTGTCATAGTGATAACACTCCATCAGGCAGCAGCAGAGCAGAGGCAGCCATTGGGAAGAGCCTGTTGGCTTCCCCCGGTGCCGTCATACCTGAGGATGCAGCACCCGAAGTCACGCTTGGGTCTGCAGTACTACCGGCAGAAGGTCAGCGTGACTTTGCTGTCTGGCTCAGATTGCTTTATATTGCTCGAGGTTTTGCCTCTGATTTAAATCTGCTGCAAAGGTGCCTGTCAGCTCTCCTCCCTGCTGAATCAAGGTCTGTATTGTGAAAGGTTGAATGGATGTGCTTCCCACCAGATACGCTTTGCTGAGCGGGAACCACTCCATATGGCTGGGGGAGATGACTTTTTCATTTAAAGAAAACAGAAAAAAGCAACCCAAATATGTTTCTAATAGCAATACTTACATCCTGGAAAGTGAGAAGAAAATAAAAAAATAGTTGTTTAGTGGATCTATACAGGTGTTTGGAGGCAATTTGATGGGGTCTAAGTCAGAGATGATCTTTAGTACCTTGTAGGTCTGGGAGAGGATTCCCCTCTAGCCCCATCCCTTATAAACACAACTGCTACTTGGACCTGCCTTGAAGGCCCCTTTCACCTCAAATAATCATTGTGTGAAAGCAAAAGCAAGTTTATAAATTAGTAGGGGTTATACAGATGAAAGCCAGAGCAGAAATTGCCCTGCAGCCTCCGTATTCTTAATAACTATGCAGAAGCAGAAAAAAAAAGAATCAGCTTCTCTTTGAATCCCCAGTGAGTCTTCAGGACTAGAACTTAGATGGGAAAAAGATCTTTATGTTTTTGAAACAGAGCATATAAGATACCAAAATCCTTAGCAGACAATAAGGATGAAATGCTGCAATGTTATTTGTACAGCTACTTCAGAGCAAAAGAGTGTCTTAAGGGTCTGCCTGCAGAGCCTATTATTTGGCCTGTAGTCACTAACACGATTACAGGGATCAAAATGAGAACACTGTTTGCTCTTGAGGCAGTGGCAGTGACAACTGAGATTGAAGTAAGGAAATAAAGAGCTCAGAAGGGCAGATTTGGCAGGTAAGTAGAAGAATTTATTTCTAAGGGCTTGCTTTCTAAAATGCAGCAGTGTCTTAGACCATTCCCTTCAGTGCTGGAGAAATTCTCCAGGTGCAAAAGTAATTTCTTCTCTCAGCAAGTAAGATTTGGGCTTTGCTGTAAAATCATCCTCTTAGCAATGAGCAGTGTTTCATCAGAGCCACAGTTTTGGAGAATTAGGGCAGCTGTGGGCAATGGAGATCTTGGCAGGGCAACAGCAACTGAGTGCTCCAGCTCTGGCAGTAGCATCCTTCCCTGATGATCCAGCCTAGAACAGGCAAGCCATGGCCAGCACATGGGGTCTGCTCCCCGAAAGGACTGTTCTGTGTGCCCAGCAACCTGACAGGTGAGAAACATAGAACTAAATTCTGCCTGGTTTCCCACAAGTGTTGTGATCTGGTCTTTCCTGTCAAGAGGCTCAAAAACATCTTATGGTGAACTTGCAGGTCACCTTTGAAATGGATGTGGAGTGGCTGGTTAATAGTTAATTATCTCAGTGTTGTAAAATGCTGCACACATTTTATATGAAGGGCTTGTAACGTCATGGCTGTGTAAGTGACTATCACACCACTCTTTACTCTGATTGTTTTACCAAATTAGTACTAACACCTGCCACACTCCTTCTCTTCTCCCAATTACTCACTTGTCAACCACGATGGATTTGTCAGTTTCTTGACAATTAGCTTGGGAAAGATGAGTCAAACATAAAATTTTACCAAAAAAGCAAAAAGGAAAAGAAATCGGATTTGTTAAATTTTTATTTCCTTCCATGGGAGCTGGCTACTGAAGATCTAATATAAAGTATAACAAAACAGACTGATCAAGTTAGATGAACCTACATCCCTCACCCACGCTTCACTCCTGAGAGGCTGGACTTGTGATTGCCGCCGATCAGTCTCTTAGTGAAGGTACTTGGAAGAAATGGGAACACTGCAGCACAGTGCTAAACAAGAGGAAATTGAACAGCTTCTGTAGTGTAGAAAGAAGTGTAGATTTCTGGAGTGGGGAAAAGCAATTTGGATGAATAAAACATGAGCGCCAATTCCCAGCCCCCAGCTGAAGTTGTTTCGTTGTGTAAAGGCTGTTGTGTGCTGCCTGGAGTCCCTGCCGAGCGTTCCTCTGCTGGTGGCCTGATGCTGGCTGGGTGGGTGCCATGTCTTGTCTGCCCTCCTTCACTCCCACCCTCTGGTCCCACACACAAAGGTGACAGGGTGTGGTGTAGCACAGCCCTCCACACTGGGCTCCAGTAGTTCTTCCTAAGCTCTGGTTGAAGCCAGCCTGGTAAGAGCATATCCAAGGCTCCTGACTCCAGGAATATATAAATACACACTTGCTGTGCTCCCAAGTCCTACCTGCTGGAGACCTCTGCAGTGGCAAGATTAAGCTGGTGGGATCTGGCCCATGCTATAGTTTTTGCCTCCCTTATTTGTTGCTTTTTTGGTATGGACATTGCTTTGAAATATTTGAGCACCTCTCTGCCAATGATATACAGTCACAGTGCTGGATTTCACTAAAGGAATGATAAGAAACCAGTACTTATCAAATATTTTATTTCTGCTTAGACTCCCATGTTAGTAGAGAAAAAATAACAAGGGAAAAGGAAAGAGGGAGATATATTTGTCAGTATTCAGAGCTTGGTGCATGAACCATCCCATGCTTCTGAGCAAAGAGGGTCTAAGGGATAGAGATGATATTGCTTGCAGATGGCACTGGTTTACTGTGCACCACTCTCTAGAAGTGTACAAAGCAGTGAGGAATCAGTCTGGTTGCTGCAGCCTGGATTCCTCTAAAGCAGACACTTGAAGGAAAGCAGAATCAAGCCCACTGAGTCCAGCTTCCAAGAGGATGCAGACTGAGAGCCACAGAAAACCATTAGACACAGAAAAAATGTTGTTGTCCTAGCACTTGCAGTGAAACTTGATCAGCTTCACCCCAAGTCCCTCAGTCCAATTTATGAGCATTCCAGGTGAGAAACAGCTCTCTTTCTCGAGTATTCCAGGTGAGAAGTAGTTCTGTTTCTTTGTCAAATATATTTTGTCATTGTGGAAACTGGCAACAGGATACCTTGTACCATCTGTGATGAGAATTTTACTTTTGGCATGGTGCTTTTGGCCAGATCTACTGGTCCATATCTTCATTTACCCACAGCTGGTGACTAGACTGCAAGGACCATTGCTCAGAGTAGCTTTCTGTGTTTCCGAGGGACAGGCTAGAGGGCTCTTCTCTCCAGCAAACACTGTACCCACAGAGAAAACAAGATTAAAATAGTATCACGTGGCTGGGGTTGTTTGTTTATAATCACACCTCCCCCCCTTTTTTTTTTGTTTGCTTACTATACAATCTTGGCAGTTCGTTGAGCAGCTAGCACACAACAAATCCCTGTGGATTCTGCTTATCTAAATGCCATCTGAGGTCTACAATCATCAGCTCATCAAGCTGGAAGCAAAAGCTGGTCAATGCTCTGAAAGCATTTCCAGTATTAATGTAACACTGGTGGCTTGCATTTTGACTAAATAATCTCAAAGTATTTTTTAGAGATAAAGTATTAAGCCTCCCACTGCTCCAGGGAGTGTAGAGAATGAGTAACTGTGGAGGAAGCCAAACCAACAGATTTCTGCTTAAACTTAAGCAGGGAATAAAACCAGAATCTCTGCCCAAGTATTAATTTCAAAGTCCTCTTTCTCTCCATCCCCAACAATGCCACAGGGAGTGGTGCATCTTGGAAAACTCGAATATGTCTTTTAGGGAGGTCATGATGAGATTGAAACACTGCTACACAGACATCTAGACCAGGAAAATGAAGAGTGCTGCATCCTCTTGTGACAGCGAGAAATGTTTGAGAAGGGGAGAAGAGGATGTAATTATAAAAGATGGAATTTAGCCAAGATACAGCATGTAATATGTTCAGTCTTACAAAAAGCATGGCAATACCTTTAAATAACCAGCGACAGTCCCGACCTGATTTTACATCTCTGCTGGCAATAAGATTCCTTCTCACTTTTTATAGGAATGTGATATAAAAAGAAGAATCAGTAGCAACATTTCCTGTAACTTACAGATGCTCCTAGAAATTCCTGCCTTTTAATAGCCATATACTCATTTGGTCCAATATGACTGTAACAGGAAT